TATATATATATATATATACATATACATATTTGTTCGATAGATTATATCAGTGTTTAGTTACCCCAATGGAGTCAAAGGATCTGAGGGGTTCTGTGCTGAGCTTGAGGTAGAAAATGCCGGGGAAAACAAATAACAGGCAGGTGGATGTTGTCGATCCTGGGGAAAGAAACAGGAAAGTGACTTGAATTGCACAGACAATAGTGTCTGACAATAGAAGCTTAATAAACTGTTTGAGCAGCGCTGCACCATTAATTATGTATAAGCAGATACTGTGATGTTAGCCACCACAATCAATAATTGTGGAATATTGACATCTTTGCTGAAAGCTTGGCTGCTTTTACCATATGCTGTACTTGAAAACAGATCAGAATATTTTAAGGTCACCGCTAAGCCAAATGATTATAAAATAAAATAAATATAGAATGTATAAAGACCAGAATATAGCAAAAACATTTAATTTCTCACATTTCAAAAACATCACATACCCACTACTCCAAACACATTTCTGATATCAGGCACAAAGATGGCCAGCGTGACCACGACGCCCAGGATGATTAGAGTTGCAAAGATGTGGATCAGCCAGGAAAAGGGCCGTCCTCCAAACAGCAGCAAGATGGCAGCCTTACGGGCCTGGAGCGCACACACAAACAAAGCTTAATCTAACCAAACATACTCAAAGAAGTGTTTGTTTTTTTTTGTTTTTTTACAATTGCAAAACAGGAATGGTGCAAACGCACAGACATACAATTAATAGGAAATTCAGCATTATATATACATTCCCACACAAATATCAATGAGAAAGAAAAACAATTCAACCCCTACTGAAATCAATTACATTTATTTTTAAAGTGATAAACTTAATAATAACCAGTTATATAAACATACAACGCAAGTCTAAAATAAAACTAAATTTGACATCAGAGTCCAATAACTTCAACCATTTCTTGATTTTAAGTAATTTCATAGAATTGATCAAAGAATCCAAAATAAGGAATGAAGAAATTGGGATAGTCTTTAGTACTTTTTGGTCGAGTAGAAAGAATATTCCGGGGTCGGTGTACTCACAGGGAAGTGAATAAGGGGAACAGTCAGCAGCACAGAGAGCAGGATGGCCAGTCGAACCACCATCACCATGATGTCCCGAGGCATATACACATCGTAGTCGAGCAACAGCTCAGAGTCCACATGAGCTGGGATCAGGAGACGAGGATAGAGCGAGGGTACAGTGTGAACCGATATGACAGGGCTTGAGAAAGCAGCCACAGCACGTAGTTGCAGTAAGGTGCGTCACTACAGGCTTACCGTAGAAGGTGAGGTAGCCAAACAGCGCAGAAATGAGGTAAACCAGGATGCTGAGGCTAATACTGACATTTGTAATGTTCTGCATCCTGGACTTAGTAGGCCTGAAAGACACAAGGACACAATGACTGAGCGTAATCTATCTATCGTGAGCAATAGAGTCAATAACTTAAATAAAAAAAGGCAAAAGTGAGAGGCTGCAACGCTGACCGGTCCAGTTCACAGTAGATTGGCAGGATAGCTGTGTGGCACAGGAAGGAGAAGGCCATGGTGGGGATGGTGTAGCCACTCTGCAACACACATCAGCCAGAGCGCAGCCGTCATTAACAAATTATCAGCTTACTCTGTTACCCAGGAGTGAGGGGGCAGGTGGGTCAAGGTATGGTTTGTGTAGTAGTAATTACCATCTGGGCTGCAGAGTGGGACCATTCAAAGTTCATGGGGACATTTATTCACTGGATTTAAATACACAGCATATTACTAAATACTGCGTGAATGTGACATTTTAGGATCTTCTTGCTAAACACTGTCAAGTAGTGTTTAAACATCTGGACCAAACATGTGCTCTGTGTAATTCTGCATGTATGTACATATGGCCTTTACATGTAACATAAAAGTGAGTGGCAGCTGCATAGTGCAGCCCAAACTTAGAAAAACAGTGCAGTGGACCTACTTTCAACAACTTCTCAATGCCACCTCACAGGTTTTGCATGTGCAGCGTTGATAAAAAAGGCTGGTTTCATACACGTACCTTACTGGAGATGACAAAGAGTTTGGGTGTACATTCTGAGTCAGAGGAATTTGATATCTGGAGAAACAAAGAGAGAAGAGGAAGCATGGTATTTCTGAGAGGAGATGCTGCTGCGGACGGGAAAACAGAAAGCTGGAATCCATTGCCTGGCTTCAGAGCTAAAAGGAAAAGAATCAGCTAAGTAAACCATGCCAGGTCTGCAGCTATGCTATGGGCAGCATAATTCTAAAAGGCCGGAGGTCATTTCCAGACTGATGCAGGGTCACCTGAACTTCCTTCCCCTCGGGAAGGAAGTTCACCATACACAGCTCTCTGCAGCTTCCTCTGGTCCTCATCAGCCAGAGTCGACATAGTCAATAAACACAGCCTCCTGGGTTTTCCTCATAATTCTGTGGCCGTGACCGTCTGGTCCACACTACCTACATCAAACATGAACAAGAGAAGTAGGAAACTGCGCTTTTTGTTTACCTGGAAGGCACCTGAAAGTGTAGTCACATTGCGAGGCAGTGGGCAAGGGATGGACCATTTCTTGACCACAACCTAGAGAGAAGACAAGACAACATGTCGTCAACAACAGAAAAGTTGAAAATCATGTTTTAAAGCGGTATACTTGAACTCACCACAATTGCAAAGTACAGCATAAAGAAAAAGGCAATGCTGCTCGTGTAGCCCAGGAAGCCTGTAAGTGTGAGAGAAAGATCAGGTGAGAAACAACATTTCAAACCACTCACGGCAGCAAATCAAGATGCCCCTTGATCTCCATACTTACCAATTTTAGGCAACATTGACAGAGGTAGTACAACACAAAGTGTGACTAGGACTAGAAGCAACCTGCCATCTTCATACCAGGCATGTCTGGGAAACAAGAGAGCATGAATTATTAAAACTGAATCAAGTCACATTTCCCATCACCACCTCCCAGTTCCTGCAATGTCAGGGATGACAAGAGATGAATCCTTAAAATGGACCAACTCTGGAAATTTGTCTCCATTTCGTGCTCAAACACAGAACGACACATTCATCATGTGGTATGAATTAAGGGCTTTAGTTCTTGCAAACCATAACAATTATGTAATTCACATGCAAACGTTGTGTCGCTCTGTCAGACGAGACCACATTTCATTTGCCCGGTTTTTCGGAGAGGGGGAATAATATTTTCCTTTGCTGAGGGATAGCCTTGGCGGTTTATTCGGGATTGGGGAGCTCGAGGAGGAGGAGGAGGGGCGGTGTTCGAGGTGACACATGTGAAAGGCATGCCGGCTCCGCTGGGGTTGGGGGTCGAGTGGGAAGGGTGCTGCCCGTCGCTGCTGTATGTTGGATCGCAGCGTGGGGTCATGAGGGACTGGCTCCACCACTCTTTATGGGGCTCCCACAGTCAGCAGCACCTGCTCTGACCACGTCAACACCCACTGACCCCTGTTTGGCAGTTTCACAGCTGTAGTGTTACCATAGGCGCTGATGGATTTGTCTCTGCGTCTACGCTGTTTCTGCCTTGTAACTGGATGTCAGGGAGACCTCTGCTCTGACCCTGACTCTCTCTTGTCCAATCACTTCAACTCTAACCTAAGTTTAGCTGACCACCTCGACCGCAGCTTAGCTAAACCCCCATCTCCACTTTTACAGAACGTTATGCACACACAGGGATGTATAAAAATCTCCAACACCACGAGGATCCATTCTCAAGAGACTGGAGGCTTACTGTAAAGGCACAGGATACCGTAGAAGACCCATGAAATGTGGAACATTTCACGCTATGATGAGATACAGGGTAGCTCTCAGTTAAGGTTGGAGTATGACTGCCAATGAGTCAATCTCCACATAGTGTTGAAGATCAGCACAAACTCAAATCCCGTTGTCCTCATCTTAGGCCTCGCTACTGAACTGAAACACGTTGATAGATACAAGACCTGCAGCTCATTAGCAAAGACAAAGACTTCAAGATTGAGCACGACTGTTTGCAACTCTGTCGTATTATGATAAATGACCCAGAAAAACAAAATGTGTTTTAATGTTTAACTTGTTCATTTAGGCTTTGATCGAATTGAGTACGTGTCTGTTAAAATCCCAAAGCCGCTCATTAACAGAAATGTTTTGTTTCCCTCAGCAGTGAGCTGTAATTAGAATGGCAAAACTGATATCCCCTTGTATCAGTCTGATTCCGGGGAACATGTGCGAGAGATTTGGGGGTGAAAGGAGAGCACTAATACAAAGCAGCTGTGTGTGGAAGACTCAGATGTTGACAGATTGGGCTGAGAGCAGCTACAACTCTTGCTTAAACCAGTGTGGCCAATAATAAAGTGGTGGAAGTTCCATTCTTGGCCTGGGACTTCTCTATGAGGGCTCAGAGCTGCAAGCTCGTCCATGTAGGCCAATGAAAGACACGGGCTGCTCATGACTGGTGATGTATAGCTCTCCATCATGAACACATTTCCTCTGGGCATGTTTCAGGCCAGACGGCACAGAGCACGAGTTTCCCTCCAGTCACTCACAGACAAAGTATTAGTCGTGTACTGCGGTTTCTTCTACCGCATCATTCATATCTTTGTCATTGCCCGATTAATTCCAGTTTGTGTAGCTTTGTGGTGCTGAAATGTCAAATTTGACTTATTTCAAGGCCAAAAGGTATAATCTACAACATCATGGGAACACAAATGACTCATTCGTTATCTTAGTGTAGCTAATCTAAAAGAATGGCTTGGTTTTACCCGCAGCTGTGACAGATTTTGAACCAAATTTCCTGATTGGCGGAGAAGTGAGCTTACAGTGCTGCATGTACCCACCCTATGCTTTGTGGATTCAAGAGGCTGTCGATGGCTGCAGGAAGCTCTGACTTCAGGATGAACAAATAGGAAGACATGGCTGAGGGAAGAGAGGAGAAAACATTCAGAAAATGTCTGTTTTCCAAATGAAATAAAGAAAAAAGAAGCATGCCATCATACCAATCGACTAAATCATAAACGTAGCAGATGACTGTATGTTGCCACAAGGAATCTTAAATTGTTGTGTGAGGGTGGTGTGTGTTTTCCAGCACAAGGAAATGGAAGGCAGGGTGGCGGGGGGATCGAGGCTCTGAGTTAATGCAGATGGGTGGGGCAAGCAGCTCAAGGGGATCACCAGTAAAGCCCTCGGTGCAGAGGAGCAGACATTATGCAGATCATCCAACTGCTGGAGACTGGGAGCAGCAGCCAGGATGGAGAAGTGCGGGGGGGGGGGGGAATGCTAACAATAATGATCTCTGACGCTAATCCAGGTATTTCTCCCACTGCTCCACCTCACTAGGAAACAGGATATTATCAACCTCCGACGGGCTCCAATATCCTTTCAACGGACAGCCAATCAGAGAGTGGATCGGGGTCACTTCCTGAGGGTCTTAACAGCCCCGAAATCACCAGGAGGAAAATGGGAGAGGGGAGATGGAGACTGCACACGGTGGAGAGGACGTTTCTGGCTGAAACAGGATTCAGATGCAGTGTGTGGTCAGTCATAAAGGGAGATAATGTTAAGGGATTTAAATCTGTGAAGCCAGGCAGAGCCAGAGTTAGCTGGGACCTCATTGCCCCCGAGGCAGGTCTTGCACTCGCCGTTAAATAAGCCTAGACCATAATCCCTGAGATCCTGTATTTGTTTATTAAAGAAAATTCATCCAATAACCCTCCAGCCCACACAGACACGCACTCTGTGAATAACTAATGCCATTTATGAGCTCTAAAATATGTCAATGGGGGTTGCTCTGAGGCACTTTCGCCCAAAGGTTTTCCTGCAAAAGTATATCCAACAATTTAAACTAACCACAAAAACGAAAAAAATATTTTCAACCACACCAGCCCATAAAAACACACTGACAGGGATCACACAACAGGCATGATGCAATGGTTAAATTTCATGCAGTAGGTTGCAGCAAGCACAACAACACTTTGATGGGAATTCCTGGTGGGATAATACTTACATTTCTGCACAAAAAACGCCCTTGAGTGAAGGAAAATGATTGTTATTGGCCAAAAGGCAGGAAAATATCTTCTTGTAATAAGCATGTATGTAAGAAAAAAAGAAAATTTATTCAAACTGTCTGTGTGCGGTAAGCGAACAGTGGGAGACTGCGTTCAACATAAGACAGAGCCACTTTCATTTCATTAAGAGTGAGGGGACAGGCAGGCTGTGAGAGCCCTGGGCTGGTCAGTAATTAAGGTCAATTGGCCCATCAGCCTTTGGCAGTACAGATGAATGTTTACCCAGAGTGAGGCTAATTGCAGTCTTATAAAAGGGGCCCTGGGTGTAGACAGATGCATGCTGCAGTGCTGGCTCTCACACTCTCACACATACTGCCCCATGCTGGGAAAACCACAAACATACCAGAGGGCACGGCCATAATCCACTCAGCCGTGCCACTAATGACTGCAGAGGAGCGATCACCTTAGCTCTCCACTGTCTGAGAAGCGCAGTTTGTGGCCGAGGGACGGGTGGAGAGATGGCAGTAAGAGAGAGAGAGAGAAGTGTGGGGGGTGGGGGAAATAACGGGAGGGGTCCCATTAGGTTACTCAACACTGGGTGGGTTTACCATCAGTGATCAATTAGACGAGAAGTCAGATTTCAGGCCCAGGGGAGGGGGCTAAGAGGACAGCGGCTACAGAGTCAAAGGTTATCAAGGAATCCGGATAATAGCCTCACAGGGAGGAGGGAGCAAACCTGAGCACAGGGGCTTCTGATCACCAGTAGGAGGCACTATCTGCCTCCAAAATAAACTGGCCACAGTCTAACCCTGCAGCATTGTGCACCCTCCTCAACACTCTGCTTCTAAAAAACCCCACAAAATCAGTTTATGTTCAGCATGTCAAAGAAATGTATGAAGCTGTAGAGTGAAATGGGAGCTGACTTACCGCCCATATTTTGGATGATAATGGAAACTCCAACCAGCACCTAAAAATAATTTTGAAAAAGGCGGTTAGTTTGAACATGTCTTCTGGTCCTGTTGAAAATATGTGAGGTAATTCCTTTCTTTGACAGGGAAAACTCAAACTAATCAAAAAGACAACACTTACTTTTCCTGGTTTTTGCAAGGCTCTCCCTCCAAGGTCTTCATATGAATTTATACCTATGAGAGTGAAATAAAAACAATCACACCTACTCAACTACTTAAAAGAGTGCTCAACCGACTCAGCATTACACTCCTATAACATTGTCGGACTCACATTTGACAGTTTAAAACAGAAAGAGTAAAAACCAGAGGTACTGTCTTTTTAAGTCCAGGCATTCTACTTCCTTGTCAAAACCTGGTGCCTACTTCACCCACAATGCAACTCTACTGCTGACAGTTTGGTGTAGATTTGGGTGTGTTAAACTTGTAGTGGCTAATATAGTCTTGAGCTCTATTTTTTACATTTTCAAACTTGTAGTCTTTCGACCAATCCGAACTTGAGGCGATTTATCAGACAGCTCCAGTCTGGACCCACAGAAACATGTTATACATGTGCCTGAGAGCTGAAAATACACTTAATTGTGTAAAATTGTATAATAATAATAATAATAATAGAAATTATAATTTCAGGATAGGATGTCCATACCTTCAACAGTACTTGGATGATAATTGGCAGACAACTGTTATCTCTTTTTATCTCATCTCATGGCTCTTAAACATCATTTACATAACAACCGATTCAATTACAACTAGGAAGTGAGTAAAGACAACAAAGAGATAGCAACACATCAGATAGCTTCCCTGAATAGTGATCTAATCACGAGTGATGTAAGGGGGACACTCCAGGATGTGGGCAAAATAATCTGGATGAAACCCCCTGGATAAACACACAGGAAGTGATAATCTAAAGTTAGACTGTGTATCCATTGTTAGTCTCTCACCTGTTTGGTCACATAGCTTCAGAAGGAGATGTATAGAGTACGCTGCCAGGCTGGACACTAGTACTAACAGGATACTACAGAGGAAAGGTACATAGAGGAGAAAGTAGTGTTTATAGATTCATGTCTGACATATTTAAACATCTGTCAGATACTTAAACAGCACTGTGGTTAAAGATTTAATGAGAGCATTCTTACCAAAAACCCAATATCCCAGTGTTAGCCATAGCATAAGCTAGACCCAATATGCCGCTGCCCATGATGGCATTCATCAGGTTGAACACAGAGGAGGCGAAGGAGGCTCCGTTGGTTCTAGTCGGCGCTGATCCCTGCACATACAGCAGAGATAACATGTGGATAAAACATGAAGAGGTAAAACAATGAGGGCGAAGACAAAAGGAGCAGAAGAAATCCGATTATTTTTGTAAGAGCTTTAGGAGAACTGCTCCTGACAGTATTAAGAACAGCTGGCCAGCCCTGATGATGGATGTCATGAAACAACACTGCAGTGGCATGTAGGATCAGGGAATGGAAATGGGAATGGATGGGGTGGGATTTGAGCAGCTAGCTGTGGGACAGCTGCCTGAGCTCAGGATAAGGGGAGCTGGCCAAACTGCTTGACCTCTCTAATAGGGGATATCCTGCAGAGAACGAGTGGCAACTCTGGTGTCAGTGTCACAACAAGCTTGGATTGACCCGAAGGCCGCTGAATCAGATTCACCCTTGGTTACAGTACTGAAAGACAGGAAGTAAACTATGACACCAGATGGAAAAGTGGACTGGTTGCCTTGTTCAATTATAATATAGCTGATTTGAAGATGCTAAGAATGTGAATTTTAAAATAAGCACTTACTGGCAAAATAATGTGATACGACACTTTAATGTCCTCCATACAGATGTATTCACCACCAGCTCATTCCTGTTCATGGTCACAGTGGGGGGTAAAGAATATCCCAGCATGCATAGTCACAAGTCCAGCACAATGCTGAGCGAAATAACAAGCCGACCAGTATAATAAACAAACCGCTGCTCATCCCAACCGGTTCCTTTTCTATTCTATGTCTTGCCCATTGTTTCAGATTGATGATAGGATTGATGTCTTATCAGGGTAATTCTACTGTCACCACTTCCTTTGAGCGGGGGCTTCTGGACATTAAAAGAGTGAATAAACAACGCTGATTGATCAGTATAGCATCCAACTACATCAGATTACTCACTACTGAAGAATGCTGCAAAAACTCTACATGGATCCACATTTATCTGCTTCTGCATTTCTTCAGTATATGTAATGTTAAGGTTATTAAACAGAAAATACACGTGCATATGCTGTTCCTGTACTTAAAGTAGCCGAATATTGCTTTGATAATCTGAACCTTTGTAAACTTTGTTCAACATCAGAGAGACAGAATAAATGCCAACGTCTTTCATAGTCAAATACAATTTTAAGAACCTCAAACAAAAAGTCTTTGAGCTCACAGAATCATATCACTGGTATTGTGTTAATGGGGTAACTCCAAAAACAGCCACTGACCATCAATACGTATCTTGATTGGGACGTAGTGCCACTTAGGACAGGACACCAGGGTTGAAAACAGGCCAACAAACAACCCGAAGAGGAGTTTACATTCTAGTGGAGAAAATGACTGATAGTGTGCTTCTCAAGGCTGGTTCTGCTGGTTTACATGTGACTATAATGGGAAAATAATTAGTTTAGTTAGATCTAAATAAAAAATGAAGGGGCTTAGTGTATAGATGTGGAAAGTTCCCTCCAGAGCCACAGAACATACAACTATTTTAATAGACTTAGTGGTTATGATCATGATAAGCAAACTCATTGTCTTAAGTCTGTTAAATCGTTTGACTTCCAGATTAAATATAAAAATGACATGTAGAATACATTTGTATTTGCATAAGAAATGAATAGAAAAAGACACGAAATCCTCAGTTAAAAATAATCATTGAAAGACCATTGTGCAATTTATGCTTTGGGGTTGACTTTCCCTGTAAGTGCTGACAGAAGCAGAAAGGAAGAGCGGAAAACGCACGTGATGTCTGTCATAAACAACATTTAGACAAGTCTACCTGTGCATGGAAAAAACTATCGCTGCGTATTATTCCAGAAATCCCTGTATTTAGACTGAAGCACTGATCCTCAGCTGTGAAAGACGCGGTGCTGTTTTAATACTTACATGTGTCAATAAAGGTGTAGTGTCGTTTCCTTCGATGTCCCCGGCGACGCGTTCACTATACAAGTCTGCGGTTGCATTTCTATTGCTGCTCATTTTCTACTCTCGAAAACTGCGGACACAAACGACTAGAAACAAACTCTCTCCGTCTTTTGACGGACTCCACAGTCCAGTTATCACGAGGACGTCACGAGTTATGATACCATCTTCTCTTAAATCACTTTTAAACTTCCCCTCTTATCAAATTGTCAGATGCTGATTGTTGTTGTTCATGACGCCTCCCTTTTCCGTCGCATTTCACGCGTCATCAAAGAGACTGCCCAATCGGAGCGCGACTCTTCGCTCGTTTGACCAATCACGAGCCAGTTCTGGTCGACCACCGATGACGCATTTCAAGCATGCCTGCGAGTGAAGGATGTTGAGGTGAGCTCTGAATCTGGATTTTCTCGAACATAACATCATAATTACCTTTGATTTAACACAGAGTTGCTTCGCTTTGTTACATCTAACACTCGGTTCACAGTTATGATGTGTTTTCTTTAATTTTCTGCTTCATAACCGCAACGTGTTTGTCATTTCAGGCTCCTCTCCAGAGTCTTTGCGTCCATACCAATTGAAGGAAACCGAAAAGCTGCCGCTGCGCACCAGAGCATCTGCCCTGCAGCCTCAGTTTGTTCTGGCTTTGCTGTTAACCCCATAATGGAGCCTAAACTCTACCGGGCCCCTCCAGAGGTCCGGGGTATGACCTCTCTGGACAAAGAGGCCTTCACACAGACTATCACTGTCCCAGCGCTACGGGTGCCCACTGGGGTCTTAAACAAGGTGGTAAAGAGCCTGAGAAAGGCGACCATCCAGCGCCCAGGGGTACCCCGAGTGGTGCAAGATAAAGAGGAGAGTAGTGACTTTCGTTTAGTCCTGTTGGACCCCCACAGAGTGTCCTCTCCAAGCTCCTTCAGTGAAGCCGAAGCCGAGGCTCTGAGGTCATTCAGCGTCGCTGAAGAGCTGCAGTACTACGAGCTGCGACTCACCTATCACAACCTGAAGAGTGAAGAAGTGCTGGAGGCTGTGCTCCCTCAGGGGCAGGACGTGACTTCTGGGTTCAGCCGGGTGGGACACATCGCACACATGAACCTGAGGGACCACCAGCTGCCATACAAGAACCTCATAGGTGAGAAGCAACCCATATGAAGGTGTATTTTGGCTCCTTGTCATAGAGTGTACAAGTCTCTAAAAGTTTACAATTCTATCTTCCTGAAAATAGTCCTTCAATTTGGTTTTGAGGAGAGCGCTGTCTTAACACGTTGCTCTAAAATCTCCCACAGCTGTTCGGTCGTGTTGAGATGCGACAGTGAAGACAATAGCATGTAATTCACACCCCTCTCATACTGATCAAACCATTTAATGAATGGAAGCCTCTGTATTTGTTGTTTCTCCACTCCATTGAGGGTTTTCCATTCATTTTTTTACCTGTCCATATAGAAGTGAGTGAGATATTTGTTAGTGTGCTCTCAAAATTATTACTGGGGAAAGTACAGATGTTCAGCAAGTCAAGTCTGAAGCACACACTTCAGTGCCTCAATGTAACTTTCATGCACAAAGCGTCGCTTTAATCAGGCTCCTTTTAAAATGAGCAAATAACGTCAACTGTGACTTATTGTCATGTGAGCAATCAATTCTTACGAGGAAGAAACGTTGACATTTTATCAGTACCGTCAACACTTTCAGACAACTTTTTACACTTTACATGTGAAGGTTCGTTTCCTGCTTAAATTCTTATAAATGTGTAATTTTCTGACTTAAAGGACTGTGGGTTTAACAAAGAAAAGAGTTAGGAAGTCGTATTCATTGCTAACTGCGTGGCTGCTTCCATTGTAGGTCAAGTCATCATGGACAAAAACCCCGGTGTTACCTGTGTGGTCAATAAGACAAACATGATTGACTCCACCTACCGCAACTTCAAGATGGAGATGCTAGCTGGAGAGGAGAACATGGTCGCCAAAGTAGGTTAAATCACAAATGTGCAATTATTTCACGTTGATTAACATTTTTTTCTTAAATAGCACGATCCATTTGTGCAGTAATTCTCAGATGTAATCAGATCATGGACTGAGGGTTGATACAATCTTGGTCTGTGCCGCAGGTGAAAGAAAACGGGGCGACATACGAGTTTGATTTTTCTCACGTCTACTGGAATCCCCGGCTGAGCACAGAGCACCAGCGTGTGGTGCAGCTCGTGAAACGTGGCGACACCGTGTTTGATGTGTTTGCCGGTGTCGGACCTTTCGCCGTCCCGGCTGCCCGCTCAGGCGCAAACTGCTTGGCCAACGATCTCAACCCCGAGTCCCACCGATGGCTGCAGCACAACTGCAAACTCAACAAGGTGGAGAAGAAAGTGAGAACCTTTAACCTGGACGGCAGAGCGTTCATCCGGGGGCCTGTGAGGCAGGAGCTGCCCGCGCTGCTCAAGGGAAAAGCCAGTGTTCATGTAGTGATGAACCTGCCTGCTTTGGCTCTGGACTTCCTGGATGCATTCAGAGGCCTATTGTACCAGCAGCCTTGCTGTGATGAGAATCTACCCACAGTGCACTGCTACGGCTTCTCTAAAGATGACAACCCTGAGGCGGATGTGGCGGAGAGGGCTTCCCACAGCCTCGGGTTCCCCCTGAAGGACCGGTGCTCTGTGCATTTTGTGCGTAATGTAGCACCCAACAAAGATATGATGTGTGTGAGTTTCACACTCCCGAAAGAGGTGCTCTTCAGTGGTGATCATGAACAGACAGGTGAGAGTTGATCCAAAAAACAGTGAGGAATTTAATGATAACGTAGATATTAAAATGTGAACATGAACACTACTTATGGTAGAAGTCAGTGGCAGCTCTCTGGAAACATAATTGCAGAGGAAACTTTAAACTCAAGTTTAATCATTCATTCAGCTTCATTTTTCTGTACTATATTTTACAAAGTCGATCTACCAAAAAGAAAAGGCAACTATTTTAATAATCGATCAAATGTTTGAGTCATTTTTGAAGCAAAAATGTCCAAAATGATCCGTTTCCAGCTTCTCAAATGTGAGAAATATATTATTTCACTTTGCATGAAAATAAACTGAAGAGCTTCACTTTTTGGATATTTTACTATAATAATGCCAAGGCAATTTATTTGTATGTGAATACCTACTTCACATACAAAGAAAGAATACTTGTATGTGAAAATGAAAATAATCTTTATTTTTAACTGTTCCGTAAGCGTAGTCCCGCTGTCGCTGTTGTTGCATTCGCATGTTATAATGTACTGACCACAATAAAGTTTTACACTGTTGAATTCAAAACTGATTTTGTTCCTCCACAGAGCCTTCAGCAGAACCAGCTCCGAAGAGACAGAAGTGTGAAGAAGCTACAGATTCGACACAATCATAATATTGACCCACCAAGGAAACATTTGAGTTGAGAATTTTAAGTTTTTTTCTTTTTCACAAACTGAGTTTAACTGACGTTTTTATAACGGATGACGTTGCATCCTGTCATAAGAAATCATCATTACTTAAATACATGACTCCTTTTTGTTCAAACTAGAATGTATTAGAACTATTCCCCGGGCGCCTGTCATTGGCAGCCCACTGCTCCCTATATGCAGGGATGGGTCAAATGCAGAGGTCAAATTTCGTGTATATGTATATGACAATTAAAAAAAAATGGTTTCGTTATTATTCAGAGCTTGGTCATGAGTCTTGTTTCACTTTTAAAATAAATCAAAAAAATGGAGCTTTTCAGTGTGATTTATTTAAATATAAAAGTAACACAAAATATAAAAAAAATCATATACACCTTGACCAAAAGTCAATCATAGCACCATCGACCACAGCAGCCTTTGCCCTCTCCGTAGTGGTAGCGGTGTGGCTTTTATTGTCCTTTTAGTCACATTTCTAACCAGTGGCTGTTGCTCTGGATGTGCTCAGCGTTTCAGAGGGAACAGTCCACTGAAAGCATCCTGAATAGCTCGATGACATGCCAAAGCTGAGGTGTATCCTCCAGCTGTGTCCTGAGGCATGGCAGCCCGCACGTGGTTCAGATACCTGAGAACACACAGAGAGCCCTGGTCAGTAACAGCAGTGAGGTATTTTGTAAACAACGTGACTGACTGGAAGCCCCGAGAGCTGCTTTCAAAAAGTAGTTCCTGTGAGTGTAACTTGAGTGTAAGTTTATTCTTCATTAAATCCACACTTGAAGTTATTTTTTCTGGCTCTCCGCGACCCTTTGGCCCTTTGATGAGATCAACGAAGACAGACGTACCCATACACTAACACTGGATCACCTTGTGCCTAAAAGCCTCTCCAACATGGCTCTATTAAAGTATTATGGGTGTCTTTTATTTTTTAAGTGCTTACAGATGTATCCTGCCAAAGCCGCTTTTCAGGTTCTTGAGGAAAGCCAAAAGTCAGTTTATTTTCACATTCATGCACAGACAGAAAAACAGTCGAGCTGTTAATTTAATTTTTTGTGTGTGTGTGTGTGTGTGTGTGTGTGTGTGTGTGTGTGTGTGTGGATTGACCTGTGTCCCCACTCTAATCCTTCCTCCAAGTGTTCATTAGGGGAGAAACCTGCACACATGTTCTGTACTGCTCTCTTGTAGCATCTTGACTACAAAGCTAAAAAAGCAAAGTCCTCGAGCAACTGAGACAACACGTAGCCTTGCCTGTCAATACTGTCTCCCCCCCTACACCTCCCACCCTGCAGAAACCAGAATCCTGGCAGAGAGGGCTAAAGCCCTCACACGAGTCTGGCTTTGTGGCCCCTGTTCCTGTGAGCCGGAGAAACTTCAAAGTGAAACGGGAATCAAGAGGACAGACAGTCCTCTGTGATTTCTGTGCCCATTCTAGCTGCTTTACAGAGTAACCCAACACCTGTGGGGAGGCTGTGTGTGTGTGTGCATGCATAAGAGATGGACAGGGAGAAAAAAGGTGTTGGTGAGACTACATGCTCAAAAGATCATATTTTGCTTTGGTGTTTTATGATTGCTGCTTTCCTAAAAAAAAAAAAAAAAAAAAAAGCTGAAACATATTTGCTAGCATGCCAACACATACAAGTCAAACATTCCCACAAGATGCCCTTGTCTTGTCGTACAATAGACAGTGAAAGTAAGAGCAGCAAGAGGTGTCAATCAGGTCTCGCACACAAAGGCCACTCATCACCCACTAGAGAAACAACACACAAGTTCAAAACAGGAGGCCCAGTGATTAATAATAACTTCATTAGGCCCAAGCTGCTGTAGCCTGTCCTTCAGAGCACTTGAGGGAGGTCTTCTCATATGGCTTCCTGCATCGGATGAGTGCTATCTATTGATTATATTGTACTGGGCCTTTCTAATGGTGAAAAAAGTGGGCTATTTACAGCCCGGCTAAGTCTGCTCTTCCTGCTAATCTAATCCCCAAGCTACTCATGTGGTCATTCCTTCCAAGAAAGCTGAGAGCTCTGTGTAACTTTATACCTGCCTGCCCCTAAGGGGGGGGGGGGGG